TTACTACACACACACACACACACACACACACACACACACGCGCTTATTGGCAAACCTAAAGTGTATCAGAATTTGTTATTATGTTATAGATTAATAACAAATTTCTGATACGTTTTAGGTTTGCCAATAAGCATCAGTAAAATTATCATTACTGGATTTCATTACTGGAAAATTATTATTTGTTGGAACATTAATTTGTGACATTATAATTAAAAATAATCTAAAATATATAAATAAATTTGAAATCTTTCGTGTCATCCAATGGTTAATTATTTTCATTAATTTAATGCTTTTTCCTGACTCGACTGAATAAAGCAAAGCCAGTCAGTCAAAAGAGAGCCTTGTTATAATTTATATCGTGTAAATTATCGTCATCCAAAGATGACTATAATAACCAGCTTCGAAAAGGTGCACTTAGTGTAACCAATTGTACCAGTGGTGGCATTTTATTACATCTGATAGTGTCGCGTATATTATATTCCGCGCAAAAATCACACAAATATAAAATAACGACACCAAAATGTCATCCAAACAAATAACACAAATGCCGTTTTCTTTGCACTATCGACAATATTTCTTATGATATTTAGTACAGATAAATAGCATTATTTAAATTATATCACGTTGAGTTAATTATAACTTTAGACATGAAATAACGCTATGTCACGCGGTGTCTTCTAGCTAAACAAAGATACGTTTATCAAAGTAACATGAAATTTACTATATTAAAATTCAACAGTTCAAATATTACAAATGCTGATGCAAACTTTGTAAATTTGTGACTTGACCTACGAATTTCGACTCTAATAGATATAAAATAACATTGTATATAAAACACCCTTTTCCTATTGTTCCAAATTTTACTCCTCGCTAAATATTATGTTTATTGCAGTTAAGGATCTTAGCGTACAAGATCTGCGAAACCGCTAAGAATCAGAATACCGAATAAGATAAAACACAGTCAATATTTTCCGAAATGTTCTCATTCTCAGTTTCCAACAGGAAAATGTATGATATTATTATATGAATTAATATCAATTATAACAATTAATACAATAATACAATAATATTCATCATTTTGGTTGATTATGGCTATACAGATTAATTTCTTATTCTGTTTGATGATACCGGCTTCAGAATTTTATTCAAAATTTATGAATTCTCGGAGGGAGAAATATATTCTGATTTTTATTATCGCAGTGTGTCAGAGTTCTTAGAAATGGCGATTTTCTTCGCGTGTAATGCTCAATTTTACGAGCATTTTATGACAGTGGATGATAGTGAATACCCTCGTCCGACATACCAAACTTCCATAGTATGCTGTCCAACGTTAACATACCAAAGACATTAATTAACTGGAAAAATTAGTTGTTTAAAAAGGTGAAAATAAACGCGCGCGCGGGCACAGGAAAGGCAGAAAGCTAGAAACGGCTAGGAATTGATCTAAAGTTATTAAATGGCATTTTAACAAAAATAAATATATTACCAATCGGCAATGTTGCACTAAACATTGTTATTATTTTTGTAAAGAAACCATGTATATGTAAACTAACTTAGCGTGCTCTGTGGATGGAAACTTACGATATGTTAAATATTATCTATTAT